TTATTCTAATAAAAAAGTATTGCAAAATTTAAAAAGAGAATTGGACTCCATTACCTGCACGTTCTTTTATGAATGAAGCTGATGAGCTCTGCTCTACTAATGCACCCACCAAGTTCCGATTTCCCGATGGTCCTGATGAAGGATGGACCTGTTCTGGTCTTGCACCTGCTGCACAAGAAAAACAAAATATGTATATTACATGCTACTAAACATTTCAATTTGTATTTACTATACATATAGACATTTTTAAAAACAATATAGAACATAAATAGTACGAAAAAAAAACATCCATAAACATAAATTCATAAAGAATCTAGAACACAAACACAGTTTTAAACAAAAACGTGAGCTCTACACCAAACTGCAATTCCACTGCCTACTTGAACACAAATTCTGATTAAAGATTAGGAATAAATACTTGATCTGATGTGCACAGACTTACTGTCTTAATTGCACAAATAGGACATCCCATATTAATGTTATTTCTTCTAATAAATAAAGTATTGCAAAATTTAAGGAGATAATTTGTTTCCATTACCTGCACGTTCTTTTAAGAATGGAGTTGACGTGCTCTGCTCCCCTAATGCACACATTGAGTTCCGATTTCCGGATAGTCCTAATGAAGGACGGACCTGTTCTGGTCTTTCAACTGCTGCACAAGAAAGGCAAAATATGTATATAACATCTTACAAAACATTTGAATTTGCATTTACTATATATATATACACACTTTCAAAGACTATTCAAAACATAAATAGGGTGAAAATAAGACATCCATAAACATAAATCTATTAGGTATCTAGCACACAAAGACTGTTTTAAGCAAAAATGAGAGCTCTAAGCCAAAGTGCATTTCCACTGCATGCTTGTACACAAACTCTGATTAAAGATTAGTAATAAATGGTTGAACTGATGTGTACTAACTGTTTTAAATGCATAATTATGAAATTTCATATTAACGTTATATCTTCTAACAAATAAAGAAGTGCAAAATCTAAGAAGACAATTGGTCTCCATTACCTGAGTGAGCATTTAAGAATGGAGCTGATGAGCTTTGCCTCCCTAATGCAGCCACCGAGTTGAGACTTTGTGACGGTGCTGATGAAAGACAGAGATGTTGAGTTATTCCATCTGCTCCACAAGAAAGTGAAAATGTGAAAATTAGATCTTAGGGAAAATTTGAAATTGCATTTACTATATATGTATATCCACATTTGCAAAAATTATGCAAAACATAAATACTACTGTGAAAAATAAGACATATATACACATAAATCCATTAAGAATCTAGCACACAACACTTTTAAGGAAGAATCGCAGCGCGAAGCCAAACTGCATTTCCACTGCATGCTTGTACACAAACTCTGGTTAAAGATTATTAATAAATGGTTGAACTGATGTCCACTAACTTACTGTTTTACGTGCATAAGTACAACATTTTATATTAATGTTATTTATTCTAATAAAAAAGTATTGCAAAATTTAAAAAGAGAATTGGACTCCATTACCTGCACGTTCTTTTATGAATGAAGCTGATGAGCTCTGCTCTACTAATGCACCCACCAAGTTCCGATTTCCCGATGGTCCTGATGAAGGATGGACCTGTTCTGGTCTTGCACCTGCTGCACAAGAAAAACAAAATATGTATATTACATGCTACTAAACATTTCAATTTGTATTTACTATACATATAGACATTTTTAAAAACAATATAGAACATAAATAGTACGAAAAAAAACATCCATAAACATAAATTCATAAAGAATCTAGAACACAAACACAGTTTTAAACAAAAAACGTGAGCTCTACACCAAACTGCAATTCCACTGCCTACTTGAACACAAATTCTGATTAAAGATTAGGAATAAATACTTGATCTGATGTGCACAGACTTACTGTCTTAATTGCACAAATAGGACATCCCATATAATGTTATTTCTTCTAATAAATAAAGTATTGCAAAATTTAAGGAGATAATTTGTTTCCATTACCTGCACGTTCTTTTAAGAATGGAGTTGACGTGCTCTGCTCCCCTAATGCACACATTGAGTTCCGATTTCCGGATAGTCCTAATGAAGGACGGACCTGTTCTGGTCTTTCAACTGCTGCACAAGAAAGGCAAAATATGTATATAACATCTTACAAAACATTTGAATTTGCATTTACTATATATATATACACACTTTCAAAGACTATTCAAAACATAAATAGGGTGAAAATAAGACATCCATAAACATAAATCTATTAGGTATCTAGCACACAAAGAGACTGTTTTAAGCAAAAATGAGAGCTCTAAGCCAAAGTGCATTTCCACTGCATGCTTGTACACAAACTCTGATTAAAGATTAGTAATAAAATGGTTGAACTGATGTGTACTAACTGTTTTAAATGCATAATTATGAAATTTCATATTAACGTTATATCTTCTAACAAATAAAGAAGTGCAAAATCTAAGAAGACAATTGGTCTCCATTACCTGAGTGAGCATTTAAGAATGGAGCTGATGAGCTTTGCCTCCCTAATGCAGCCACTGAGTTGAGACTTTGTGACGGTGCTGATGAAAGACAGAGATGTTGAGTTATTCCATCTGCTCCACAAGAAAGTGAAAATGTGAAAATTTGAAATTGCATTTACTATATATATATATATTCACATTTGCAAAAATTATACAAAACATAAATAGTGTGAAAAATAAGACATATATACACATAAATCCATTAAGAATCTAGCACACAAACACTTTTAAGGAAGAATCACAGCGCGAAGCCAAACTGCATTTCCACTGCATGCTTGTACACAAACTCTGGTTAAAGATTATTAATAAATGGTTGAACTGATGTCCACTAACTTACTGTTTTACGTGCATAAGTACAACATTTTATATTAATGTTATTTATTCTAATAAAAAAGTATTGCAAAATTTAAAAAGAGAATTGGACTCCATTACCTGCACGTTCTTTTATGAATGAAGCTGATGAGCTCTGCTCTACTAATAATGCACCCACCAAGTTCCGATTTCCCGATGGTCCTGATGAAGGATGGACCTGTTCTGGTCTTGCACCTGCTGCACAAGAAAAACAAAATATGTATATTACATGCTACTAAACATTTCAATTTGTATTTACTATACATATAGACATTTTTAAAAACAATATAGAACATAAATAGTACGAAAAAAAACATCCATAAACATAAATTCATAAAGAATCTAGAACACAAACACAGTTTTAAACAAAAAAACGTGAGCTCTACACCAAACTGCAATTCCACTGCCACTGCCTACTTGAACACAAATTCTGATTAAAGATTAGGAATAAATACTTGATCTGATGTGCACAGACTTACTGTCTTAATTGCACAAATAGGACATCCCATATAATGTTATTTCTTCTAATAAATAAAGTATTGCAAAATTTAAGGAGATAATTTGTTTCCATTACCTGCACGTTCTTTTAAGAATGGAGTTGACGTGCTCTGCTCCCCTAATGCACACATTGAGTTCCGATTTCCGGATAGTCCTAATGAAGGACGGACCTGTTCTGGTCTTTCAACTGCTTCAACTGCTGCACAAGAAAGGCAAAATATGTATATAACATCTTACAAAACATTTGAATTTGCATTTACTATATATATATACACACTTTCAAAGACTATTCAAAACATAAATAGGGTGAAAATAAGACATCCATAAACATAAATCTATTAGGTATCTAGCACACAAAGACTGTTTTAAGCAAAAATGAGAGCTCTAAGCCAAAGTGCATTTCCACTGCATGCTTGTACACAAACTCTGATTAAAGATTAGTAATAAATGGTTGAACTGATGTGTACTAACTGTTTTAAATGCATAATTATGAAATTTCATATTAAACGTTATATCTTCTAACAAATAAAGAAGTGCAAAATCTAAGAAGACAATTGGTCTCCATTACCTGAGTGAGCATTTAAGAATGGAGCTGATGAGCTTTGCCTCCCTAATGCAGCCACCGAGTTGAGACTTTGTGACGGTGCTGATGAAAGACAGAGATGTTGAGTTATTCCATCTGCTCCACAAGAAAGTGAAAATGTGAAAATTAGATCTTAGGGAAAATTTGAAATTGCATTTACTATATATGTATATCCACATTTGCAAAAATTATGCAAAACATAAATACTGTGAAAAATAAGACATATATACACATAAATCCATTAAGAATCTAGCACACAAACACTTTTAAGGAAGAATCGCAGCGCGAAGCCAAACTGCATTTCCACTGCATGCTTGTACACAAACTCTGGTTAAAGATTATTAATAAATGGTTGAACTGATGTCCACTAACTTACTGTTTTACGTGCATAAGTACAACATTTTATATTAATGTTATTTATTCTAATAAAAATATTTGCAAAATTTAAAAAGAGAATTGGACTCCATTACCTGCACGTTCTTTTATGAATGAAGCTGATGAGCTCTGCTCTACTAATGCACCCACCAAGTTCCGATTTCCCGATGGTCCTGATGAAGGATGGACCTGTTCTGGTCTTGCACCTGCTGCACAAGAAAAACAAAATATGTATATTACATGCTACTAAACATTTCAATTTGTATTTACTATACATATAGACATTTTTAAAAACAATATAGAACATAAATAGTACGAAAAAAAACATCCATAAACATAAATTCATAAAGAATCTAGAACACAAACACAGTTTTAAACAACAAAACGTGAGCTCTACACCAAACCAAACTGCAATTCCACTGCCTACTTGAACACAAATTCTGATTAAAGATTAGGAATAAATACTTGATCTGATGTGCACAGACTTACTGTCTTAATTGCACAAATAGGACATCCCATTATAATGTTATTTCTTCTAATAAATAAAGTATTGCAAAATTTAAGGAGATAATTTGTTTCCATTACCTGCACGTTCTTTTAAGAATGGAGTTGACGTGCTCTGCTCCCCTAATGCACACATTGAGTTCCGATTTCCGGATAGTCCTAATGAAGGACGGACCTGTTCTGGTCTTTCAACTGCTGCACAAGAAAGGCAAAATATGTATATAACATCTTACAAAACATTTGAATTTGCATTTACTATATATATATACACACTTTCAAAGACTATTCAAAACATAAATAGGGTGAAAATAAGACATCCATAAACATAAATCTATTAGGTATCTAGCACACAAAGACTGTTTTAAGCAAAAATGAGAGCTCTAAGCCAAAGTGCATTTCCACTGCATGCTTGTACACAAACTCTGATTAAAGATTAGTAATAAATGGTTGAACTGATGTGTACTAACTGTTTTAAATGCATAATTATGAAATTTCATATTAACGTTATATCTTCTAACAAATAAAGAAGTGCAAAATCTAAGAAGACAATTGGTCTCCATTACCTGAGTGAGCATTTAAGAATGGAGCTGATGAGCTTTGCCTCCCTAATGCAGCCACCGAGTTGAGACTTTGTGACGGTGCTGATGAAAGACAGAGATGTTGAGTTATTCCATCTGCTCCACAAGAAAGTGAAAATGTGAAAATTAGATCTTAGGGAAAATTTGAAATTGCATTTACTATATATGTATATCCACATTTGCAAAAATTATGCAAAACATAAATACTGTGAAAAATAAGACATATATACACATAAATCCATTAAGAATCTAGCACACAAACACTTTTAAGGAAGAATCGCAGCGCGAAGCCAAACTGCATTTCCACTGCATGCTTGTACACAAACTCTGGTTAAAGATTATTAATAAATGGTTGAACTGATGTCCACTAACTTACTGTTTTACGTGCATAAGTACAACATTTTATATTAATGTTATTTATTCTAATAAAAAAGTATTGCAAAATTTAAAAAGAGAATTGGACTCCATTACCTGCACGTTCTTTTATGAATGAAGCTGATGAGCTCTGCTCTACTAATGCACCCACCAAGTTCCGATTTCCCGATGGTCCTGATGAAGGATGGACCTGTTCTGGTCTTGCACCTGCTGCACAAGAAAAACAAAATATGTATATTACATGCTACTAAACATTTCAATTTGTATTTACTATACATATAGACATTTTTAAAAAACAATATAGAACATAAATAGTACGAAAAAAAAACATCCATAAACATAAATTCATAAAGAATCTAGAACACAAACACAGTTTTAAAAACAAAAACGTGAGCTCTACACCAAACACAAACTGCAATTCCACTGCCTACTTGAACACAAATTCTGATTAAAGATTAGGAATAAATACTTGATCTGATGTGCACAGACTTACTGTCTTAATTGCACAAATAGGACATCCCATTATAATGTTATTTCTTCTAATAAATAAAGTATTGCAAAATTTAAGGAGATAATTTGTTTCCATTACCTGCACGTTCTTTTAAGAATGGAGTTGACGTGCTCTGCTCCCCTAATGCACACATTGAGTTCCGATTTCCGGATAGTCCTAATGAAGGACGGACCTGTTCTGGTCTTTCAACTGCTGCACAAGAAAGGCAAAATATGTATATAACATCTTACAAAACATTTGAATTTGCATTTACTATATATATATACACACTTTCAAAGACTATTCAAAACATAAATAGGGTGAAAATAAGACATCCATAAACATAAATCTATTAGGTATCTAGCACACAAAGACTGTTTTTAAGCAAAAATGAGAGCTCTAAGCCAAAGTGCATTTCCACTGCATGCTTGTACACAAACTCTGATTAAAGATTAGTAATAAATGGTTGAACTGATGTGTACTAACTGTTTTAAATGCATAATTATGAAATTTCATATTAACGTTATATCTTCTAACAAATAAAGAAGTGCAAAATCTAAGAAGACAATTGGTCTCCATTACCTGAGTGAGCATTTAAGAATGGAGCTGATGAGCTTTGCCTCCCTAATGCAGCGACCGAGTTGAGACTTTGTGACGGTGCTGATGAAAGACAGAGATGTTGAGTTATTCCATCTGCTCCACAAGAAAGTGAAAATGTGAAAATTAGATCTTAGGGAAAATTTGAAATTGCATTTACTATATATGTATATCCACATTTGCAAAAATTATGCAAAACATAAATACTGTGAAAAATAAGACATATATACACATAAATCCATTAAGAATCTAGCACACAAAACACTTTTAAGGAAGAATCGCAGCGCGAAGCCAAACTGCATTTCCACTGCATGCTTGTACACAAACTCTGGTTAAAGATTATTAATAAATGGTTGAACTGATGTCCACTAACTAACTTACTGTTTTACGTGCATAAGTACAACATTTTATATTAATGTTATTTATTCTAATAAAAAAGTATTGCAAAATTTAAAAAGAGAATTGGACTCCATTACCTGCACGTTCTTTTATGAATGAAGCTGATGAGCTCTGCTCTACTAATGCACCCACCAAGTTCCGATTTCCCGATGGTCCTGATGAAGGATGGACCTGTTCTGGTCTTGCACCTGCTGCACAAGAAAAACAAAATATGTATATTACATGCTACTAAACATTTCAATTTGTATTTACTATACATATAGACATTTTTAAAAACAATATAGAACATAAATAGTACGAAAAAAAACATCCATAAACATAAATTCATAAAGAATCTAGAACACAAACACAGTTTTAAACAAAAACGTGAGCTCTACACCAAACTGCAATTCCACTGCCTACTTGAACACAAATTCTGATTAAAGATTAGGAATAAATACTTGATCTGATGTGCACAGACTTACTGTCTTAATTGCACAAATAGGACATCCCATATTAATGTTATTTCTTCTAATAAATAAAGTATTGCAAAATTTAAGGAGATAATTTGTTTCCATTACCTGCACGTTCTTTTAAGAATGGAGTTGACGTGCTCTGCTCCCCTAATGCACACATTGAGTTCCGATTTCCGGATAGTCCTAATGAAGGACGGACCTGTTCTGGTCTTTCAACTGCTGCACAAGAAAGGCAAAATATGTATATAACATCTTACAAAACATTTGAATTTGCATTTACTATATATATATACACACTTTCAAAGACTATTCAAAACATAAATAGGGTGAAAATAAGACATCCATAAACATAAATCTATTAGGTATCTAGCACACAAAGACTGTTTTAAGCAAAAATGAGAGCTCTAAGCCAAAGTGCATTTCCACTGCATGCTTGTACACAAACTCTGATTAAAGATTAGTAATAAATGGTTGAACTGATGTGTACTAACTGTTTTAAAATGCATAATTATGAAATTTCATATTAACGTTATATCTTCTAACAAATAAAGAAGTGCAAAATCTAAGAAGACAATTGGTCTCCATTACCTGAGTGAGCATTTAAGAATGGAGCTGATGAGCTTTGCCTCCCTAATGCAGCGACCGAGTTGAGACTTTGTGACGGTGCTGATGAAAGACAGAGATGTTGAGTTATTCCATCTGCTCCACAAGAAAGTGAAAATGTGAAAATTAGATCTTAGGGAAAATTTGAAATTGCATTTACTATATATGTATATCCACATTTGCAAAAATTATGCAAAACATAAATACTGTGAAAAATAAGACATATATACACATAAATCCATTAAGAATCTAGCACACAAACACTTTTAAGGAAGAATCGCAGCGCGAAGCCAAACTGCATTTCCACTGCATGCTTGTACACAAACTCTGGTTAAAGATTATTAATAAATGGTTGAACTGATGTCCACTAACTTACTGTTTTACGTGCATAAGTACAACATTTTATATTAATGTTATTTATTCTAATAAAAAAGTATTGCAAAATTTAAAAAGAGAATTGGACTCCATTACCTGCACGTTCTTTTATGAATGAAGCTGATGAGCTCTGCTCTACTAATGCACCCACCAAGTTCCGATTTCCCGATGGTCCTGATGAAGGATGGACCTGTTCTGGTCTTGCACCTGCTGCACAAGAAAAACAAAATATGTATATTACATGCTACTAAACATTTCAATTTGTATTTACTATACATATAGACATTTTTAAAAACAATATAGAACATAAATAGTACGAAAAAAAAAAAACATCCATAAACATAAATTCATAAAGAATCTAGAACACAAACACAGTTTTAAACAAAAACGTGAGCTCTACACCAAACTGCAATTCCACTGCCTACTTGAACACAAATTCTGATTAAAGATTAGGAATAAATACTTGATCTGATGTGCACAGACTTACTGTCTTAATTGCACAAATAGGACATCCCATTATAATGTTATTTCTTCTAATAAATAAAGTATTGCAAAATTTAAGGAGATAATTTGTTTCCATTACCTGCACGTTCTTTTAAGAATGGAGTTGACGTGCTCTGCTCCCCTAATGCACACATTGAGTTCCGATTTCCGGATAGTCCTAATGAAGGACGGACCTGTTCTGGTCTTTCAACTGCTGCACAAGAAAGGCAAAATATGTATATAACATCTTACAAAACATTTGAATTTGCATTTACTATATATATATACACACTTTCAAAGACTATTCAAAACATAAATAGGGTGAAAATAAGACATCCATAAACATAAATCTATTAGGTATCTAGCACACAAAGACTGTTTTAAGCAAAAATGAGAGCTCTAAGCCAAAGTGCATTTCCACTGCATGCTTGTACACAAACTCTGATTAAAGATTAGTAATAAATGGTTGAACTGATGTGTACTAACTGTTTTAAATGCAAAAATGCATAATTATGAAATTTCATATTAACGTTATATCTTCTAACAAATAAAGAAGTGCAAAATCTAAGAAGACAATTGGTCTCCATTACCTGAGTGAGCATTTAAGAATGGAGCTGATGAGCTTTGCCTCCCTAATGCAGCCACCGAGTTGAGACTTTGTGACGGTGCTGATGAAAGACAGAGATGTTGAGTTATTCCATCTGCTCCACAAGAAAGTGAAAATGTGAAAATTAGATCTTAGGGAAAATTTGAAATTGCATTTACTATATATGTATATCCACATTTGCAAAAATTATGCAAAACATAAATACTGTGAAAAATAAGACATATATACACATAAATCCATTAAGAATCTAGCACACAAACACTTTTAAGGAAGAATCGCAGCGCGAAGCCAAACTGCATTTCCACTGCATGCTTGTACACAAACTCTGGTTAAAGATTATTAATAAATGGTTGAACTGATGTCCACTAACTTACTGTTTTACGTGCATAAGTACAACATTTTATATTGTTATTTATTCTAATAAAAAAGTATTGCAAAATTTAAAAAGAGAATTGGACTCCATTACCTGCACGTTCTTTTATGAATGAAGCTGATGAGCTCTGCTCTACTAATGCACCCACCAAGTTCCGATTTCCCGATGGTCCTGATGAAGGATGGACCTGTTCTGGTCTTGCACCTGCTGCACAAGAAAAACAAAATATGTATATTACATGCTACTAAACATTTCAATTTGTATTTACTATACATATAGACATTTTTAAAAACAATATAGAACATAAATAGTACGAAAAAAAACATCCATAAACATAAATTCATAAAGAATCTAGAACACAAACACAGTTTTAAACAAAAACGTGAGCTCTACACCAAACTGCAATTCCACTGCCTACTTGAACACAAATTCTGATTAAAGATTAGGAATAAATACTTGATCTGATGTGCACAGACTTACTGTCTTAATTGCACAAATAGGACATCCCATTATAATGTTATTTCTTCTAATAAATAAAGTATTGCAAAATTTAAGGAGATAATTTGTTTCCATTACCTGCACGTTCTTTTAAGAATGGAGTTGACGTGCTCTGCTCCCCTAATGCACACATTGAGTTCCGATTTCCGGATAGTCCTAATGAAGGACGGACCTGTTCTGGTCTTTCAACTGCTGCACAAGAAAGGCAAAATATGTATATAACATCTTACAAAACATTTGAATTTGCATTTACTATATATATACATATATGCACATTCAAAGACTATTCAAAACATAAATAGGGTGAAAATAAAACATCCATAAACATAAATCTATTAGGAATCTAGCACACAAAGACTGTTTTAAGCGAAAATGAGAGCTCTAAGCCAAAGTGCATTTCCACTGCATGCTTGTACACAAACTCTGATTAAAGATTAGTAATAAATGGTTGAACTGATGTGTACTAACTGTTTTAAATGCATAATTATGAAATTTCATATTAACGTTATACATCTTCTACCTAATAGAAGAGTGCACTCAAGACTAAAGAAGAACAAATAATATTTTATTTGCGTATAATGCCGAAATGAGCAAAATTTGCCTTAAAAAATACAACAGGTTGAAACATTTTTAGCAGGTCCAAATGTAGAAACAATGAGAATGGATTGAAAGTGATCTTCCACTGAAGTACATCTCACTGACATTTTTCAAATGCCTTGCGACCTGCCATACAAGAAATTGACAAAATATATATCTTATATGCATTAAAAAAAAAAAAAAAAAAAAAAACCCAAATACTGTGAAAAATAAGACATCCATATACACATAAATCCATTAAGAATCTAGCACACAGACACAGTTTTAAATAAAAATGACAGCTTTAAGCCAAACCGCATGATTGTACACTCTGATTAAAGATTAGTAATAAATACTTGATCTCATGTGCACTGACTTACTGTTTTAAGTGCATAAATATGACATCACATATTAATGTTATTTCTTCTAATTAATAAAGTAGTGCAAAATTTAGGGAGACAATTGGTTTTCATTACCTGCACGTTTTTTTAAGGATGGAGTTGTTGAGCTCTGCCCCACTAATGCCGAGTTCCGATTTCTGGATGATCTCATTGAACAACGGACTTGTTCTGGTCTTCCACCTACTGCACAAGAAAAGAGAAAATATGTATACTACATCTTACAAAACATTTGAACTTGCATTTACTATATATATATATACAAATTTTTAAAAACTGTGTAAAATATAAATAGTACGAAAAATAAGACATCTATAAACATAAATCCATAAGGAATCTACAACACAAACACAGTTTTGAGTGAAAATGAAAAAGCTAATTCAAACTGCATAGCCACTGCATTCTTGTACACAAACTCTAAAAAGATTAGTAATGAATAGTTGACCAATTGTGCACTAACTTACTGTTTTAAATGCATAAGTATGGTATTTCATATTAATGTTATTTCTTCTAATATATATAATGCAATGCAAAATCTAAGGAGACAACTGGCCTCAATTACCTTTTAAGAATTGAGCTGATGTGCTCTGCCTCACTGATGCAGACACTGAGTTCAGTTTTCTGGATGGTCCTGATAAAGGACAGAGCTGTTCATGTGTTCTTTCACTAGCTGCACAAGAAAGTCAAAATATGTATACTAGATCTTACGGAATATTTGAAACTGCATTTACTATATATATATATATATATATATATATATAATTAATTAATTACTAAAAAATATTGATTATTTTATCTCCTAATATAAATTTAGTAGAAGTATCAAAAAAGCTTGGATGTAGGAAGTTTAATTCCGAAAATTGTGTTTCAAAGTAACTGAGTTGTAAATTATGAATAAACGTTTTTCGGGGACTTGAATTGAAATCAATAATAACAAAATTTCAAACTTTGAAAAAGAAATTAAAAATTTAAAACAAGTAATTATTGCTATTGATCGGAAATTAATTCACTTTTCAAAGGGAAACAAACCAACTCCCGTTCAATGAACAATAATTAAATAAATGCGAAAGTGTTTCGTCTTTACTCAAATAAGAATGAAGATGCCAAACTGGCAAATTAAGTTAGGCCAAAATTTTAGTTCCGTGAAGTGATGGGATTTATAACCAAAGTAGAGTACCAAAGAACTCATTCTGAATGAAGCATTTTCGCTAATACAAGATTCTTTATAAATTTTGAGTGAAAAGCAATTTATGTAGTAAAATTTACAAAATACTGGAGTAAATGTACCCCGACACCTTCGCTTTATGCATGTTAATTCAAGACTATTTGTATAAAAATAACATGAAATAGGCTCATGTTATTAGTAACAGAATAAGAAAAGTCTGAAAACAATTAGCTTTTTACATTATATACAATTTTGTAATTACACTATGTACAACTGATAGTCATCCAACTGATACCACCTTCACATGTTTAGGAACAAATTATCATATCCCTATCAGTTATATGATTTAGCGTGAGTATTTAACGCCTGCCCTTTTAAGACAATGGTTAATAAATCGATTAGGTATTAGATTATTTTTGAGAATTTTAATAAGGGGCAAAATTTTGCATTGTAGATCTATGGTATCTGCGCAAATATTTTTAATACGTTGTATTTGAATTAATATTGTATTACTAATAACTTTTTTGGAGACGTTGGAAGTCCAATTAATTAATTTGTTAGTATTGAAATTGACATTTCTTGTCTTGTCAAACAATAATTCCTTTTTTTTTCTATTTAATGATTTCACGATCGAGATAGTCGATGCTATTTTGTGAATGATTAGTTTTATTAAGTGTAAGGCATTCTGGATAAATCTTGGAGTATTCAATCTTATTAAAATTATTAAATGCAATAAGATCATCTATATATCTGTAAGTGTGCTTGTAGCAATTTAATTCTTGATGTAAATTTTTTTGGAAGATAAATTCTTTGATAAATAAAAGGAGATTACAGATCGAAGTAATGGAATGTGAGCCCATTGGAAGACCTTCAACTTGTATAATAAGTTGATTCTAAAATTTAATGTAGTTTTGAAAAAGGGTGCATTTTAGGTAGGTTTTCCATTTACTAGGATTCATAATTGTGACCAGAGTATGGAAGAGTTTAAACAGATCTAGGAAACTAGCATAATTTCTTCTAAAGGAAATCATAGCAGTTAATATTTTGCAAGTCAGTTTTTTGAATGGCATTAATGACAGGAGTGTTATTATGGATGATCCAGCAATAGTTATGATTAGTGTTACAATCAATAAATTTACAAATTATTTTAAGCAGAATTGCAATATAATAGTCTACATTTTTTTGTAGCTATTAGTTCCATTTCCTATAAATCTGAATTTTAATGGTGTTTTATGGAATTTGGGAAGTGCATAGAGGTTCGTAAATCTGTTGTAGCTTGGATTTAAAGAGATATTTAGTTTTTTATGAAAAGTTTAAATTCTGTTTATTATAGATGTTTCTGAAAGGTTTGCTAATTGATAAGTAGTTATGTTGAAAAGTTCTTTATTAATAATTGCTGTACAGAATTGTTGTTATATAATGCTAAAGTTATTATTTGCTTTATCTATTTTTGTAATAGTAAAAAGTTTTTAAAAATTTCTTATATCAGACAGTAGTTGTGACCAATTTAATGTACTTCGGAACTAGACGTGATTAAGTGCGGTGTAAATGCGTTTAAGTATTCCATCTTTCCATTTTAAAAAGGTACCTACAGGTAAATTGAGTTGATAGCCTGCTTTAAATTCGTTGATGCTGTTTTCAAAAGTTTTGTTACAGTAAATTTTGTATATGTGTCTGACTGGTCTAAATTTTACTCATAACTCATTATTTTTAACTCATTAGTGTTTTTAGTTGATTGTTTTGCATGTTATCCAGGTTGCCAGTAATTAAGTGCTGGTGACGAGCATCTATGTAAGTACTGTAAATTGGTAATTTGCAATGTCATTTTGCTGACTCATCTATTTCATGGTGGTTAGTAAGCAAGTTGCTTAATGTCTTTTGGTATTTAAATACAATTATTGGTATAGTGTCCACACCTGGGAAGTAAACTTTACATTTGTTGAAGATTCTAGAGAATCAAATATTGCCAAACTGAGAATGCAGAAAATTGACATTAAAATAAATTTTGCATAGAGTCAGACAATTAGAAAGTTTGAATTTACAAAAGTCAAGAACAATGTCTTTAACAATTTTCGAACTAAGTGAATTTAAGATAATTCAACATAGTGTGTGTATGTCTATATACAAATACACACAATTTCAAAAATTATACAAAATATAAATACGGTGAAAATAAGACATCTATAAACTTAAATCCATTAAGAATCTAGAACACAAACACAGTTTTAAGCAGAAACGAGAGCTCTACGCCAAACTGCAATTCAACTGCATGCTTGAACACAACCTCTAATTAAAGATTAGTAATAAACACTTGATCTGATGTGCACTGACTTACTGTTTTAAGTGCATAAATATGACATCTCATATTAATGTTATTTCTCCTAATACAAGGGTTGGAACTTTAATAGTGGCAACTATTTATTTACAAGGAATACAAAAGTGATTCACGTCACCATGTTTTACAGTCTTTCAATATAGTCGCCAGCATTGTGTACAACTCATTTCCAAGGATGTGGAAGTAGCAGAATACCTGTAGCAGCACCTGTTTTGTTGATAGTTTGAATGGACTGGTCTACTGCCATAAGAATCTCAGGAACAGTTTGGAAGCGAGTGCCACGAAGTGGTTCCTTCATCTTAGGAATTAAGTCATAGTCACAAGGTCTTAGATCTGGGGAGTATGGTGGATGGTAAAGCACTTCTTAGCCCCATCGCTTGAACAAATCAGTCACAGCTTGCGCTGCATGCGGCCGAGCATTGTCATGCAAAATGAGAGGAGCGTTCTGCAGAAAGTGTCAACGTTTTTTTCTCAAAGCTGGTCGGAGATTGTGCTCCAAAAATGAGCAGTAATACTGCGTAGTGACAGTCTGCTGTGGGGGAACGGTATGCGTTAGGATGACACCATGACAGTCGTACACAAGAATCACGATAACTTTCACAAATCAACCATTCGTTTGATTGGCGTTTCAGTTCTGGCTGGTACGATCGGGCCCAAGTCTCATCCAGCGTAATGATACGGCGTATAAAAGCATCTCCTTCGCGCTCATAGCGCTCCAGGTGGGTTCGGGCAGCATCGTATCGTAGCCATTTCTGCATTTCCATCAATTGATGTGGAATCCATTGTGAAGCAATTTTTCTCATGGACAGGCGTTCCTTCAGAATGTGCAGCACAGTCGTATGCGGTAATCCTGTTTGTCCGGCCAGCTGACGAATCGTTTGGAGGCGATCACTGTCCATTAGTGCGGCAACAGCTTGCACGTCTGCATTGCTGACACTCGGATGACCTGGCCGCAGCATGTCTGCCACGTTTTGGCGTCCTTCATTGAATGCTTTCACACATGTTGCTACGGTTCTGTAAGGCAATGCAGATTCCACGCAAGCCTTCTTGAAGCCCTTGATGACACTGTCGTGCTGTACGACCTCTGGCACATTCAATTTTTATCCAATATCATTGTTCTTGTTTTGAAAACATCCTAACAACACTTACTTTAGACCACGAGCTAATAGAAGGATTCGTTCTTCGCGTCACTCCGAATGCACGTGACGTAGGCAGGACAAGTCTTTTTGCTGAGAGGTAAGGTAGGTATGTAGTTCACGTGTGGTATACGCGATATTCTTTGGTTTTGTTGTGTAGCGTTTTTTCAGCTGAGTTGCCACTATTAAAGTTCCAAACCTCGTTAATAAAGTATTTCAAAATGTATGGAGGCAATTGGTCTACATTACCTGCATGTCTTTTTAAGGATGGAGTTGATGAGCTCTGCCCCGCTAATGCCGAGTTCCATTTTCCGGATGGCCTCGTTGAACGACGGACCTGTTCTGGTCTTTTACCTGCTGCACAAGAAAGACAAGATACGTATATTACATCTTACAAAACATTTGAACTTGCATTTACTATATATATATATATATACAAATTTTTAAAAACTGTATAAAACATAAATAGTATGAAAAATAAGACATCTATAAACATAAATCCATAAGGAATCTAGAACACAAACACAGTTTTAAGCGAAAATGAAAGAGCTAATTCAAACTGCATACCCACTGTATGCTTGTACACAAACTCTTAAAAGATTAGTAATAAATAGTTGACCAATTGTGCACTGAGTTACTGTTTTAAGTGCATAAATATGATATCACATATAATTGTTATTTCTTCTAATAAATAAAGTATCACAAAATTTAAGGAGACAACTGGTCACCATTACCTGCACGTTCATTTACGAATGGAGCTGATGAGCCCTGCCCCACTAATGCATCCACTGATTTCTGATTTACGAATGGTCCCGATGAAGGAGAGTCCTGTTCTGGTCTTCCACCTGCTGCACAAGAAAGACAAAATATGTATATTAGAACTTATGGAACATTTGAAATTGCATATAAGATATATATATATATATATAGTACAAAGTCATTAATCCGGACATCAAAGCTACAAATTTTCTGCGCATGCGTAGCATTTATGCATGCGCATAATACATTTACGCATGCGCGTTTAATGTAGAACGGATGGAATAAGCTAGGCTAAGATTATCTAATTGTCTATTTCAGTTAATGTTGCAGATTGCGTTGTTCCTTAGTCTTCTAATGGTATCCGGCTTATTATTTTTTGCAGACTGTTAGAGCAATTTTATAAAAAGTAAGTTTGAACTTTAGATTATAACAAAAAGAGTTCCTGATTCTTGAGCTGCCAAAGATCTATAAAGAGAAAGCATGTTTCGATGTCCATCAAACAAAAAGTGGAATTGCTGCAAAAAAATGGATAATTGCATGAAGAAAGTGACATAGAGGTTAGTGAAAATGAAAAAATTTCGATTGACAAGTTAGTCGGTATTCTTGGCACAGCAATTACAGGACTTGAACAGCGGAACTTTCTAACTAAACAAGAAATTATGTCTGTTTATAGAATTAAAGACAATGTATTATCACATAAAAAACAAAACAACTAACATTGAAAGAAATGTTTAATAAAGTAAACAAATTTTTTTTTTTTTTTTTTTTTTTTGTAGAATTTGATACCCCATACATCATAATTGCTCTTTATATCATAAATTACGGTTTCATATTTTTTATTTTATAA